CTTCGGATATTCCAATGGCTAGAAGAGCACGTTTTGCGTGGGCTCCTCGTCCAGGTCGGCAAAACGACAGGAACGTCGTAGGGGTGGCAAGCCCTATGACATTCTCTGCTCATTCTCGTAGCAGTCAATGTAAGTCCTGTAGTCTTGCAGGTTGGACGAGCGGATCCAGTGTTTGCGCCCGTCCACGTACTCGACCAGGTATTCTTGTTTGCGGGATTGGGGCGTTCTGCGCTTGTCCACTAAGCAGAAGATGGGGTAATCCGAGGCGGCGTAGGCGACATCGTTGTCGCTGAAGGCCACTCAGCTAGTGAAACTGGATTGCGGCTGACAATCGACCGTCGATTGGGGATTCGTCCTCCGGAATATAGTCGTTGAACGGCCGAGAGTAATAGCCGCGAAAGAGTTTGAGCCAGTCACATTGACCGTCACCATCTTGTCGGGGTGCGTGGGTAAGTCGATTTTGTAGGTATTCGGCCCCATCTTTCGGTCAATCCGATAGGGTCCATGCCAGTGGCATGCTAGTTTGCTGGACCGGGGATCATTTGTGTCGCCCGACTTGGCGAAGTATTTGTACACCCAGACCGCCGTTTGATCGTCATAATCGATGCGCTTCTGACATGACTTGGCCTTCCCGTTTTTGTTCTGTCCCTCGATGAGTTGCTACTCGACTAGCGAGCGAGTTTCCTTCCAGGACGCAGCTAGGCGTCGCTTATATTGCAGCAGATCGTCGGATTTCCATGCGGCGTTTACGTTGAGAAACGCGAGGTCGAGGAGAAGTGTGGGGTCGCGTCCAAATAGGCAAAAGTAAGGCGAATCCCCTAGAGTTTCTTGGTGTGAGGTGCGGTAGGCAAATAGTAGTCGGGGTAGATATTTGTCCCAATCTGACTGCAGATCATTCACATAGATCTTGAGCATCTGGATGATCGTCGATCAAGACTCGAGCGAAGGTGGACGTTTTCAAATCAGGCACGGCAAATGATTCTACCCACCGAGTGAAGTAGTCGGCGAAGATGAGGACAAACTTGTTGCCTTTGTTTGAGGTAGGTAGTGACCCAAGGGCGTCCACTACCATCAGGCTAAACGGTCCTTTGAGGGAATAGACGGGCATGCGTTGCATTTCGCCATGTCGCCACGGGCGTCCTCATTTGGCACGGTTGCAGTCGGGGCACTTCGAGACGTACTCCTTGCAATCCTGCTGCCAATCCGGCCAGTAGGCCGTTCGGCGAATTCGTTCACGCGTCTTTGTGAATCCAAGATGCCCAGCACATTGAGAGGCATGACTCGCGTGTAAGACCACTTCCAATAGGGTGAACGAGATCACCGGCAACACGTGGAGTTCGGGGTTCCGCAATGGCGTCTTGTGAGTAACGTAGCGACATACGATTCCTTGCCTGATCGTGTACTGTTGTGCATTCCTTGTCACTAATTTCAGTAGGTGTGA